AAATTTGTGCATAGAATTCTACCGCCACCAGCAGGCTACTGCAGTGCCAGCGTAGTCCGGTCTTTGTACGCTTAGGCATGTTATGTTCGTTGCGACTAGGGCCCTATCCGTCCACGGTCTCAACGAGTACAATTCCCGATTTAATGGACACCTGTGTCAAACACTCCCGTTCAAACTCAAAGCTTTCATCACTTTCTCGTTGTTAGGTTATTACCCATTTAGTGCCGTATTTCGGGTACTCCACCGTAGTAGCATGCTGCCGCTTGTTACGTCCACTCTACACATTGTTGCTAGTATTCTTACCCATTCAGTGCCGTATGTCGGGCATTTCAGTTCAATAGCATTCTATTTGTGCCTCCTCTGTACAGATGTGCTTCGCCATCTCCTGGACAGTCGCCAGTGGTGTCATGAACGTGTACAAGGTGGCCATCGACACAGTCTTCATGTGTTATTGTAAGTGGTATTATGCATGGCTAGGATTGCTTGTTCTTGTATCTGCTCTCGTATTTCATCTGAAGCATTGCCTTATACGGTCGTCCTGTGTTATTGTAAGTGGTATTCTACATGGCTAGGATTGCTTGTTCTTGTATCTGCTCTCGTATTTCATCTGAAACATTGCCTTATGCGGTCGTCCTGTGTTATTGTAAGTGGCATTCTACATGGCTAGGATTGCTTGTTCTTGTATCTGCTCTCATTTCTGTATGTCCGTATACTCGCATTCGCCTCCGCAACCTGCAAGAAGTCTTGAAGGGACATTTTCCCGTTGGTGTGTGCTTACATACACGTCCGTGACGTTGATACCTACATATGACCCTGTCATGCCTGTCTGGTTGCAAGTGATTGCTTGTGTTCTTGGTCGACGGGCGCGCTTTCGTTAGTGTGCATGGATGCGCAAATGTATTCCTCAACCGTTGGATGACTTTCCAATAGCACTCCCACATCTTCAGTTCGCATTTCGGACAGTGCAGTGATATCACATACTGTTTCTCTGTATCGTTTTCAGTGGAGTTCTAACGCCTCCATCGCCACCTCTCTGCGAATTGGCTGTATTGTATTGTGTTGAGTTGTGTTGGGTTGAGCTGTGTTGGGTTGGGTTCGGTTAGGCTAGGTTGAGTTGCATTGGGTTGGGTTGTGTTGGGTTGAGTTGGGGTAGGCTAGGTTGAGTTACATTGGGTTGGGCTGTGTTGTGTTGTGTTGTGTTGTGTTGGGTTGGGTTATGTTATGTTGGGATGAATTGCATTGGGTTGAGTTGTGCTGTGTTGTGTTGGGTTGTGTTGGGTTGAGTTGCATTGGGTTGAGCTGCATTGGGTTGAGTTGTGTTAGGTTAAGTTGTTCATATAGAGTTTTACCGTGTAGTGTAGTGTGGTAGCCTTTTAGATGAGTGTGGGCGACTGATGTTTTGTGCATGGCTATGCTTCGTCTCTCTAAATATTCGTTGTACCTGCAGTGCTACGGATAATGTTATGTTCGTAGTATAGAGGAAGCGGTATATGGCTCAAGAGCGTGTATGTACAACTATGTTTGAGACAACGCCTTTATCAGTACGAATCCCGAACTCCTGATGAAAGTTTGGCCGTTTCGTGCCCCATTTCTGTTGTGCACGTTGTAATGCCTTGTCCTAAATGTTAGAGTGCACTTTTGTCGACGTGCATGTGATGCAATTGACTTATGATAGTCCATACTCTTCTTATTCATGTTTGTTGTGTACGTTGTAATGGCTTATCCTATATGTTAGAGTGTACTTTTGTCGACGCGCACGTGATGCAATTGACTTATGATAGTCCTTACTCTTCTTATTCATGTCTGTTGTGTACGATGTAATGACTTGTCCTATTTTTTGGAGTGTACTTTTGTCGACGTGCATGTGATGC